GATCCAGCGGCTGATCTCGCCCACCGTGAAGGCCCGCCGCGTGAAGAAGGTCCGCCTCGCGATGGAGCAGGTCCGCCGCTCCGCCGAGGAGCGCCGCAACTTCCTGCAGACGATCGCCACCCAGCGCCGCGCCCGCCGTCAGCGGAAGCACTCCGCGAAGCACGCCCGCAAGGTCATCGCGCAGAAGGCCGAGGTCGCCGCTTTCCAGAAGAAGTAGGACCGAAGAAACGAAACGGCACGTGGTGGCAGGGAACTTACGAACCATATTTTTTTTGGTATCTGATTTCTTTTTGATCCGTAAAAATCTGTGTACCTGGATCTGGGGTCATCGGCCTTGTGAGCGTTGGGAGGGGTCACTCTTATTCCCCCCAAAACACGTTACATGTCAACTTTCTCGTCTTTTTTTCTCTCTTCCTTAAATTGCTTACGAAACGCTTTTATCGTCGTGAAGTTTTACTTTATCCGTATAAGTCTCTTACAATTTTTTTCACCACACACACAGTGATACATTGAAAGTTCTATCAATTTTATCTCTTGCTCTACGATTGAACCTCCCCTCTTCAAAAAAGAAAAAAAATGAAACTCTGTGCCCTAGCGCTCTGCGCCATATCCCTGGGAGTGGTGGCGGCGGTCTCCTGCGATGATATCTACCCGCAGTCGGCTGCCTTTTTCGGCTCGATGGGCTGCGCCTCGGCGCTGGTGTTCGCCAACCTCGGCTCCGCCTACGGAACGGCGAAGTCGGGGGTGGGCGTCGCTCACCTGGGTATCCTCCACGCGGATCGCATCATGCGGGGTATCGTGCCGGTCGTCATGGCGGGTATCCTCGGTATCTACGGTCTGATTGTGGCAGTTATTATTAATAATAATATCAAAACGGGTGACAAGGGGTATTCCTCCTTCGCAGGATATCTCCATTTCGGTGCCGGTCTTGCTGCTGGCTTGTCTTCGTTGGCTGCTGGTCTTTCTATTGGAATTGCCGGTGATGCTTCGGCGCGGGCGTATGGCAAACAGGAAAAGATCTTTGTCGCTATGATTTTGATGCTTATTTTTGGTGAAGCGTTGGGCCTGTACGGGCTGATTATCGCACTTCTTATGAATAACACAGCAAACAAGGCAGTTGGTTACCAATGCACATAGATGAGAAAAGCTTTGAATTTGAATCATTGCGCGTTTTTTCTTTTTGTGGGGTTTGTTGGGAAAAATGATAAGAAAATAGTACGGATTTATAGCTTTGCGAAGAGAACATTTTTACCGGAGGAAAAGCTAGATATATAATATATACTTATAATGTCAGCTGAATCAGATGGGCGGACAGACCGTTCGATGCTAATGAGGGAAACCAATCAACATCATCAACAAAAGACGGTTTATGTTTGAAGTTAGGTACTTTTGATAAATATATATCTATATGTGCGTAGGATCACTGATATTGATTTAAGATGATTTCATCCATATCCAATGGAAGTAGTGATACAAACAAAGACAGTTCTCTCTTCCCCCTCTTTTACCTCTTCATAAGTAAAGGATAACCAGAGAGCCAATGCTTTGCAAGAAACTCATTTTGTGTCTCGTAAGACACAGTGGAATGTTCTCTCCCTTCCTACTGGTTGCTGGTCTCCTGTTGATGTTGTTGCTTCCTATGTATGCATCCAAGGATATCTTTTTGGACGAGAATAATATTAAAACCGTCCAGCCGCCGGCCTATTTCAATAAATACATTATAGCAACAGCGTCATCAGAGATCCAATGGAACCAACGCCTCGTACGCGGCCTCCGTTCACCAGGACCTGATGTAATTGCTGTGTATGTGAACTCCGCCTACAGTGAATCAGTGAAGCTTGGAAATATAATTATTCAACATTTGCTCGACCGAAACGACCTGAGCTGTGATGTATGGTTCTACTTTGTCAATGTTTCTGTTAAATGGCCGATTCCTGAGACCTACGTGAAAGCGGCTTTAGTTCTCAATTTTTCATCACTTCAGAATCCTGTAGAATGCGTTGACATATATTCCAAACACGGTCTTCGACCAAATCAAGATTTGGCCAACCTCGCCATCCTGTGGGCGGACTGGAATTCCTTCCGCGTGTCACTTATTTGTCAGACCGGAAGATCACCTGAATTTGCTGAATACGGCCCGCTTGTTTACTATATTAAATCTCTCGAGGAATCGATGCTCGTTGATAATTATCCCCAACCCTGGCATGCGATTTCAACTAGGGGCATTCATACCATTGCTCTTTCTTCCAACCCTGCGTATGCTTATTACGATGAGGATAAAGTAGAGCAAAATTCAAATGTGACTTTAAGGTATGTCACCATGACTCTTCAAATATTGTTGTCTATAAGTATACTGGATGAAAAACTTCACCATGCAACGTTTGGGTACATTCCCACACGCTTCGACCGCTATGTTAGCTTTGATATCGCCCAGCTCGTTATTTTTCTCTTCATTGCCTCCATCACATCTACGGCATACCGTATGCACCAACTTTCAAATCACAACCACTATCATTTTGGAATGTTCCTGACGTTGGCAATGACTCCAATTGCTGCTGCAATGTACAAGTACGCTGGTTTGCCTGCGCTGGCGATGGCTACTATTTTCTTCGCTGAAGCTATGAAGCGGATGCCAGTGATGCTAGCGTGGATTAGCGCGAATATCGTTGGCCTTGTTCTCATGATTGGTCTCCAACCCTCTACGGGCATCCTCGGTGGAGCAGCTGTGGCCTTGCAGTTATTTTTCCTCCATCCTATGTGCTCTAATTTTATTTTATTACCTGGCGTAGTTATCTCGTGGGTCGCCTATTTATACTTTACATGGTATTTGGGCTTCCCCATTTGGTCTACCAAGACCATCAGCTCGATTTTTGTTAGCGTTTTCTTATACCCCAATGCTGTGTGGGTATCAAGTAGATTTCTGCGTTTTTTGAATGCAAAAGAAAAACGTAATGGGAAATCTTAAAAAGTATGATATTTATGTATGGCTATAGGACAGAGATTTGGTTGATATCAAACTTAATTTGAATATCAATATATATATATATATATATATATTGATATGAAATGGAATGGAATGGAGTACAATTTCTGTGATCCCATTATAAACTGATCTGCTGATGTCACTTTTTACATCTTTATTATCCCTTATACTTTTTGTCAATAGGCCATAGTATAGTAGACTTTTCAATGTCTAAGCGCACCGTGAAAATGGGCGTGATGGGCCGCTACGGGGCTCGCTATGGTGCGAACCCCCGTAAGCGCGCCAAGAAGCTTGAGGTTTCCCAGCACGCCAAGCACTTCTGCTCTTTTTGCGGTAAATTTGGCTTTCGCCGAAAGGCCGTTGGCATCTGGCGCTGTGAGGGCTGCGGAAAGACGATGGTCGGTGGTGCTTATACCCTGAGCACTCCCAACAACAGTACAGTCCGATCCACCGTGCGCCGCCTGCGCGAGCTCGGAAAGAACTAAGACGATGGTCTAGGGCTTTATTTTTTGTTTCATTTTATGAGATTTTCAAAAAAGTCGTTCGTGTTGTGTTTTCTTTGCCTCTCTTCTTTCAAGGATCCTATTCACATCGCTGTGTAATGTGATCTAATATTTTTTCCTCTGGTCTTTCACTGCGGTGGCTTTCTTCTTTTTTTTTCACGACTTAAAATATCCAGTGGTATCCACACACATACATACACTTAATTATTACACAAATCAAGGAAGAAAAGTATTAAATAAAAAAAGATTGGATTGAAGCGCAAGTAATCTAAGCTATCAAGAAAAATGTTTGCATCCAAATCTGAGTATGACCGCGGTGTAAACACTTTCAGCCCGGAGGGTCGCATCTTCCAAATCGAATACGCGATCGAAGCGATTAAGCTGGGAAGCACGAGCTTGGGCATTCAGACCCCGGAGGGGATCGTCCTCGCTGCCGAAAAGCGAGTGCCGTCTACTCTTGTAGTACCGTCGACGATGAATAAAATCCTTGAGATCGACCATCACATCGCCGCGGTGATGAGCGGCATGGTGGCGGACGCGCGTATTCTCGTCGAGCACGCGCGTGTGGAGGCGCAGAACCACCGCTTCACCTTCAACGAGCCCATGCGGGTGGAGAGCTGCACGCTCGCGACGTGCGACCTTTCTATCCAATTCGGCGAGCACAGCGGGAAGAAAAAACTCATGTCGCGTCCGTTTGGCGTCTCGCTTTTGATCGGCGGCGTCGACGAGATAGGGCCTCAGCTTTGGCAAACCGATCCGAGTGGAACGTACACCCAGTACGAGGCTCAGGCGATCGGCGGGGGTGCGGAAGCCGCACAGGCCGTTTTCGCCGAACGCTACCACCGTAACATGACGTTGATCGAGGCAGAAAACTTGTGTGTGGACATTCTTAAGCAGGTGATGGAGGATAAGCTGACGAAGGATAATATCGAGGTAGCAACGATTCGCGTTGACGACGGGAAGCTTCACATTTACGATCCATCCACTATCAAAGTCATTATCGACCGTCTTCCAGAATAGAAGAGTGCGATCTAAATGGTTGAAGGAGGCCAAAGCAAAACGCCTTTAGAGAGGGGGGATGGAATGAGAGAAAAAAAAGATGAAATATCGATCAAGAATGGAAGGGCTAGCACTATTATTATTATTGTTGTTATTTGAAACGGATCACTAATTTCCCTCTCTGCGAAGGTTTAATATGACTTTTGATTTTATTATTATCATTATTTTCGGATTGTCTTCTAGAGATGGGCACAGAACACGGTAACTACAAGAACGAATATGACCACCCCAATATGAAGATGTGCTTTCCTCAAAAAGATTTTCCTTTCAGAAACAACAGAAAAGTTTTTTATTGCTACTAGACGTCAAAAGGGTTGCATTCACTTTAGTTGGAATATATTAAAAATAATATACCGATATATATATATATATATATACAGGCAAACTCAAAATCTAAATAAGTCATGATGAACGTGGAGGCGCAACGACACGAGCTACCGAGACCCGGGGAGAAGACTGAGGTGGACGGGAATGACACGGCGGTTCGTTCCGCGATCGAGTTCCTGAGAAACCCCCACCTGCAGCAAGCATCCGTGGAAAGCAAAATCCACTTCTTATTCGACAAGGGGCTCTCCGTCGCGCAGATCTGCTTCGCCTTTGAGCAGGTCGGACAGCGGATCTCCTCGGAGCGGATCGAAGCGGTGCGAGCTCGGTGGTTACAGCGAGGGGGCGGGGGTGGGATCGGTGAGGGAGGGG